CAAACGTACGTTCCAGACCATTGCTGAGTTGCCGTCTTTAGATTAGCTGGGGAGCGAATCTCAGAGGGCTTTTGTTTTCTGTACTTTTGTTCATGCAATGAAAATGAAGTCGGAATGACACCTAGTGGCAAACTGTAGTGTGGCCTTTTCCGAGTACAGCCCTCTCCTTACTTTCCCGCTGTTTCTGGGTGAGATGCTCTTAGAAAGAGGAATCTGCGTTTGGTGTGATGAGTGATGGTCTTGGACAACACCTGCAGCCCTATCTGTTCAGCAACCTTCTTAGCGTGGCACTGTTTTCTCCTATACTGATCCCAAAGAACAGCATTTTAGCCCACGCAGGGATGAGCATGGGTGCACGTGTACCCACTGGAGGGGGTGCTGGATACCGGGGAAAAGACATGTGCAGTCAACCCCCAGCGTCTCAAGGAGATGCCCAACAGCACCGTGCTGGAGAGGCACCTTACAGGACACTAGGAAAAAGCAAAACCTGAAGATGCTGAGGCTGGAATCAGTAGCTTTGGGACTGTCTCCCATCATGAGACATGATGGAGCAGCTCAGGGTGTTGCTTCCCAGCATATTCTGTTTGGGGGAAATGCACTTTTAAGGAGTAAAGGGAATTATGGTTGTTTGTCTTTTGGAACTTAGCAGTACTGTGTGAAACAATCCCATCGTTTTGTCCTGGGAGCTTGACTGCTGTCTTGGGGGAGAGAATTATAGCTTCAAAGAACATGGCCTGTTGATTCCTTGATTTTTGGTTTTTTTTGGGGTTGTTTTTTTTTTTTTGGAGGGATATTGGAAATGAATGTGAAAAGGCCTTCCAGAAAGAGCATTAGGTGGTCTACAGACTTGCATCCAGATTTTTGAGTATTTAATGTATTTTTCCATGAATTTTGCTAAATCAGAGATTACTTGTCCATATTTGATTGACTTCTCACCCTTCTTGAGCTTTTAAAATCCAACAAGTCAACGCAGTGGCAGTAGAACCCCCCTCCTTTCAATCCAGAAGCAGCCTGTGCTATTTAACATTGAGAATGGGATAGCATCTGGATGCTCCTGCCAGGTGCTGGACTGTATTGTTCTTGGAAATGTATAACCATACATGAGGGACTGCTTTATAGCCTCGTGAGGAGAGTGAGCCCAGATAAAAGGGCTCTGACCTGCTGGCTTCGGTAGTGATGTGGAAACCAGCTGCAGTGCAGGGCCTGCGTTATGTGTTTGGTTTGGAAATGATAAACCCTCAAGCTCTTAACTTCTTTGGAATTTGGATATTTTCTTCTTTTAGGTCAGATATTTTCTGCTCTGGTAACTTAGGTTCTTTCTCATACACTACTCTGTATCTTGGCCCTGTTTTCTACCTGGGTGTCTGGCTGAGGTACTGATTTAGCCAACTTTTATGTAATGCACAAACTGGAATAGGAATTTTGGTTAACTCAGCTACTGGGCAGCGACTGGATTTGGCTCTGCAGGAGCTGTGGTTAGTCCTGGAGCAAGGTAAAAGCATCTGTACAACGCCTTGCAGGTGGGAGAAGGCTCCCTTTCAGGACACTGCAGTGCAGGCTCAGCTCAACATGATCTTGTACAACGTAGGACAACTAGTGCTTGGCTGTTGCAGGCTTCTTATTAGACTGCGTGGGGCCATGTTCCTATTTTAAGTGATGATACTAAAGATTCGGAGGGTTTGAGGCAGGGTAAATTAAAATCTTAATTGTTTGACTTAATGCAGTTTTCTAAATGATGCAAAGCAACACAGAGATTGGCTTGAGGGGGGGATCACACCCTCTGGAGGAGTCGCAAACTGTTCTCTGGCAGCAGCATATTCATGAGCCTTGGGAATTGCAGGGAGGATGGTTGTGTCCCGGCCTCTCACCAGCTCGCCTTTGCCCCAGGAAATACCACCAAGTGCCTGTACTGCTTGGCGACGGATACCCAGCCCCAAGTTGCATACACCACTCTCGGGAGGTTTTTGGTGCTTTTTTTGACCACTCTGTCTCCTCTTTCACCTGGATTAAGAGCAAAGCTCTTGGGTGCTCCGGAGGCAGGTGCCCACATGTCAGCTGTGCCTTACCATGCCATCAATTTGCTAAAAAACTTAAAATAATGTGAAGCAGCAGGGATGTTCGGTGGCAACGGCATCATGGAGCTTGGTACCTTCCACCCTCAGCATCCCCGTGGTGGAGGGAGCTCTGCCTGCCTCACGGCAGTTTTTCCTTCTCCTGCTGTCCTCCCCTGCATGGTAATACTGTAGATCCCTCATGTGTGATGGGTGAGCTGCTCGCTGCTGTTGCAAATATCATCACGCTGTGTCTGTGCTGAATGTGGAAGAGATCCACAGTGTGTCAGAAACGAGCAGCTCCTGCATGGACGCCCAGATGCCGTGTGTTTTCCTGTTGCCTTTCGCTACGGAAAGACACCTCCCGGAAAGCTCTGGGGACCGGAGGTCTTCCAGCACTTGTTATTTTTGGTCGTCAAATTTCCGGTGCTGGGTTGGGACAGTTTGGAAGTAACTCCGGTCGCATCCCGTTAGTCTCCTAGTGGGGCTGTTTTGAGAAGCATCCAGATCTGTGACTTGCCTTTTGAGTCCCTGTCTTTACACTAAGGACTGTCTTGTAGGATGAAGTCTGAACCGTTGTAATTAGTCTGTACTGTTACAATTAGAGTGTACAGAATTATTTATTTTGTGTACTCAGTCTGCTAAACACGTAAATGTATTCTGTGTACCCCAGCGCTCTGCTGTCGTTACTGCTGGCTCATGATCTACGCGTGGGCTGCCTGCTGCAGGGTGCTGCTCTCCAGCGTGTGAGTGATGGTCAGCAAAACAGATTGTGAGCCAGGAGCTGCTCAGCCCTCTGACATGTTCTTGGAGCACAGCAAGAAGGTACCAAAATGCCCATATAAGAGTTTGGTGATTTCTTTAAGTGCAGCTGCCAGGCCAGGAGACCTTGTGCAGGGCTGGGATGTCCACAGGGATACTCTCGGGCACTCGGGTGCTTGCTGGAAGGCAGGGATTGGAGGCTGAATAGGCACTTCGGGACATTTTGTTCCCTTTTCTTTGGCTGCAAGGTGGCAAACGGGGCCAGACAAATACCCTGGTTTGTCCACAGCAACTCCTCACCTCTCTGGTTTCCCTCTGAGCAGCTTTTACAGGTGAGCAGGAAAACATGTAATATCAAGTGAAAAGTGGGCCCCCCTTTTTTAACCACATCCTCCTGGAAGGGAGGTGGTTTTTGAGGGGCAAGGGACCCCAGCCCAGCAGTGGTAGGGATGACAGTGACCTGAACACACCGAGCAAGTGACCCATAGTGCTGCAGCTGATCAATCCCTGTTCAAGGCTCCATGTGGCCACCAGTTTCTTCGGCCCATACGGCCCATCCCCACGTCTCTGTTGTTCGACTCTCTTCAAGGTCATTTAGGAGCTAACTAAAGCCAAACACAGTGTCCTGCTTTCATGTGATGGGTTTTATTTCAGGTACCATGGAGTGAAAGTGCACTCAAAATGTCATGGCAAACCAGTGGCACTGGTGTGTACCTAGTGTAGCTGCTACCTCCAGCCTTAGGGGAGATTTGCAGGGAACTCAACCCCTGTGACCTTCTCCCCCACATCCCAGGGGAGGCTTTCCAAGGCAAAGGAGTCCAAGCCAGCAGCTTCACAGGTTTTGCTGCGAACCCCAGTGCCCTGCTGTAAGTTTGCTCCAATTGCTCTTGCTCCCTGCAGAGCAGACCACTAAATGAAGCTAAATTTTATCCAACCAAACAACAACTCATCAGCCCTGGGCTGTAGTTGAGCAGCTTTTTCTTTTTTTTTCCTAAACTCAAGGCCAGACTATTTGTCTTCATGATCTGTAGCCCTTCCTGTGTGTATGTCTCTGTGTAGCATCGCACTTTCTCTGCAACTGCTTGACGTGAGAGCGATTGCATCATTTTAGGGGCTGTGATTCACACAGCAAAGGTTTTATATAGTATCACTGGTAAAGAAAAAAAACCCCACGCCTCATGTTGGGACAGTCTGATCTTGCTCCTCTCCACAGTGTCCACATGACTAGCTCTGTTTTGAGCTGCCAGGAACCAGGTTTTGATTCACTCACTCTGTGTGAACACAAGACTTACTATTTTTTGCACCTGCCATTGTCCCAAGAACCTCTTTGGGTGCTTTCTTCTGAAAACCTGTTGCCTGGCCTTGAATTTTGTTTTCAGCTTCAAATTTTCCTTTGGGATGGCCTTCAGATTCCTGCCTTGTTGCCTGGCACATATGTGCATGTGAAGCAGCATCTCCAGCTGCCCCCTTCTGCCTTCCCGAAGAGCTGGAGCTGCCGTTGGCATTTCTCCCTTTCAGTTCCATGTTCCCAGGCTGTTACACAAGTTACAGCTTGAAATTGCAGACAGGGATCTTTTAAGATCCTGTGCACCCACCAGTACCATTGCAAGCCAAGAAGCCCTTGCTCGTGTTGAGCCTTGTGAGCTCTGCAAACCTTTTCCTGGTGGAGCTGATGCTGGTGGGACCAGCTAGTGCTGGAGACCTGGGTTGGTGGCAAGGCCGTTACAGGTAACATCACCCACCCTCAATGCTGCAGTGGTCTCTGGGTTGGTGCTGGGGTGTAGATCCGTGTGCTTGAAGACCACCTGAGCAGTTCTTGAGGCGCAGCCAGCCCTGCTCTCCCTCTGCCTGTGCATTCTGCTTTCTGCACCTCCCCAGCGGGTCCCAGCTGGGCACCAAGCTCCAGCTCTGGGAGGTGCTGGGGTTTGGGAGAGGAGCACCCAACCACAGGGTGCCCCAGGCTTCTCCTGTGCGCCTTCCGCCCAGGTCTGCATCACAAGAGGGAAGGAGCCAGAGGCAGCACTTGGCACAAGCAGATGCTGACACTTTATTGTGAGGCGGGGTGCCTTGTTTCCAGCTCAGCCCCTTGCTGGCTCTGCCAAGCTCACTGTGCCAGGAGCAGCACCCAGAGAAGGGATCCCTCCGGCACCGGCTCTATCTCTGAGCAACAACATAGTTGATCCAGTTTCAGAACTGGCTTACACGGGTGTAGACAGCCGGTGTGTGGATATTGCAGTCGATGGTTCCCCAGGAGACGGTGCCGATCGAGGTCCAGACGTTCCCATCCCGGTATACCAGCGGTCTGCCACAGTCACCCTGCAGAGAAGACACCTGCTTAGTGGTCCCAGCACGTGCTCCAAACTGGTCCCTACCACCCCAGCCAACTGGTCCCCTGGACATGGCCAGGTGCTATAGCTTAAATCTCCGGCTCCATAGATGTAAGACACCCCATGTCCCCTTCCTCCTCCATCCTCCCTGCAGTGCAGCCAGAGCTCAGCTCCTTACGTGGCAGGAGGAGGCGCCAGCCCCACCGGCACAGAGCATGGAGCTGGTGATCCAGTTGCCCCAGTACTGCACGCACTGGCTCTGGGAGATCAAGGGCAGGGTTACCTGCTGCAGCTGCACTGCCAAGGCTTGGGCTGGGGGAAAGAAGCACCAGTCAATCGTTCCAGCGGCGGTGAGTCTGCTCAGGCCTTTGGGAGCGCACAGGCACCCTGGGCAAGCTCCTGCTGGTGCTCCCAAACAGATGGGTGCTGCCACACAAAGCGCCTTCCCCCTGCAAGCCAATGTACCTCTTCTTCCCTGAGCAGGATCGTCTTGTGCAAGCAGCCCTGAGCAAAGGCCAGCTTGTGCCCTTGGGGTTTGCACGCATCCACCTCCTGAGCACGCACCTACAGCCGTGCTTGCACCACACACGCGTGTGCACACTTGTACATGCCCATACAGGGTTACTCAACTGCCCAACTCCCCCGTCTCCATGTTCACACAAGGTGTCACCCCACCCTAGGCACCCCCGGACCCTGCAGAGACCCCAAGGAAGGAATAGGCTGCACGCAGCCCTCCCTGAAGCTGCGGCGTATGTACAGTTTGGGTTGATGCGTCCCCAGCCAGTGGTGACACACTGGAGGTTGGTGGGCAGAACCAGGTTGGCGGGGGCCAGGCTGACAGGGGACATGTGGGGTCCCAGCTGGATGGGCGAGGAGAGCTTCAGCAGGGTGATGTCATTGTTGAGGGTCTTAGGGTTCCAGCTGGGGTTCGTGATGGCCTGGCGGGAAATACCGTAGCGCTTCATCCCTGCCCTCCAGGAGCCACTGCAATGCAGAGCTGCAGCCCCATCCCGGGACTGTGGCCATGTTGGCCTGGCTCACCTTGGCCATGGTCTTCACTTGAGCAGACTGTGTGGTGGAACTGTGGTCGTATGGCCCAAGATTGACGACGTGGGAGTACGGGCTGTGAGAGGTAAGGAGGTCAGGGAGACGCACGGCAGCCAGCACCTCGGGTGGGAGCTGCACCGGGGGCTGCCACAGGCACGGTGCACTGTGCGCCCAGGGAAAAGCCACCATGGGGACAGCTGGGGAGGGAGCCCCAGGCTATTCAGTTCCTTGGGTGCTGGATTTTGGGGCTGTCTCGAGTGCCGCTCAGTGATGCCTGGCATGCTCTTGATCCCCTGCCCCTGCTCGGTGGCCCCACCATGAGCTGGCCTGGCATCGCTGCTCGCTTGAAATTGCAGTGGGCAGCCGTGACAACCCAGTTCTTGTTGATCAAGGAGCTGCCACAGAAGTAGGATCCTGAGCGGGACTGGGGAGGAGAGAGGGAGGAAGAGCTGGGACTGGGCAGGCTGAGCACCCCCCTAAAACTGGGGACAGACAGAGGGTGTCATGGGTTGCCTTGATGCCTTGGCCATCTCCCAAGTCCAGTGCCTGGCTCACCGTGCCATGCTGCTGCGGTGCTCAGGGCACCAACGCTGCCCCTGCCCAGGGAGTGGGATGGTGCCGTACCTGCAGAGACACCTGCCAGGGCCATGAGCCGGGCACCGCGTTCTGCCCATTGATGATCCTCTCGCTGTAGTGCACTGAGGGGCTGACGATGGGCACCCCGCAGCCTGCAGGAGAGGCAAGGGGGCACAAGGGTGACCCCAAAAGCTCAGGGCTCACGCTCGGTGGTGCTGCCTGCACCGGTGTGGATGGCTCTGTGTCACCATCCCTGGGGACTTCCCTGCACCTATGGGCAGTGCTTACCTGAGACGGTGCTGGCAAGGGCCAGGCAGGCAACTGCTCACAGAAATGCTATCCTGGCAGGACAGGGCTATGTCCCCAAGGCCACGAGCTTTATAGCGGCCAGGAGCCATGTGGCTTGTAGCCAGGCAGGGCAAGGTGCCCCTGCTGTCTTCTGCCAGCTGCAGGCAGCGGTGACAGGCCAAACCTGGAACCTACTTTGCCCCATGCAACTCCCAGGGCCAGTGGCTGTGGGAACATGCTGCTGAAAAGCACCCTGGTGTGCTTGGGCTATTGCTGTAATGAGGTGTGTCAGTCCTTTCAGAGTCTTTGTCAGGGGCTGTAGGATAGGACGAGGGGTAATGGTTTAAAACTGAAAGGGGGTAGATTTAGATTAGACATTAGGAAGAAGTTCTTCACTGCGAGGGTGGTGAGGTGCTGGCACAGGTTGCCCAGAGAAGCTGTGGCTGCCCCCTCCCTGGCAGTGTTCAAGGCCAGGTTGGACGGGGCTTTGAGCAACTTGATCTAGCGGAAGGTGTCCCTGCCCATGGCAGGGGGTTGGAATTGGATGATCTTTGTAGTCCCTTCGAACCCAAAATATTCCATGATTTTGATGATTCTATGATTCTCGCTGCACCTTGTGGAGCTGCAAAGGGGGAGAGAACCACAGGGCCACAATGAGGGGCATGGGGGGCTGCTTGTGGGCACACAAGCGGGGTAGCAGTGGGGCTGGACGTGGTGGGATGAGTGCCAGCACCTGTGGTGTGGGAGCTCACCCCATCCTCAGGCCCATTTCAGAACTGTTGGCACCAGAGCGGTTTCTCTGTGTGGCCGTGAAGCCCTGGCCTGGGACAGTGCCAGCCCCAGCTGGACATTCCCAGGGCCCAGGGACACCCCTTGAACCACCACCCTGGTTCAGGTGAGCGTGTCCCAGAGCCAGCTGGGGAGGGCAGACACCTTCCCAGGTAAGCGGAGCCATGGCCAGCGTGGAGAGCTGGGCGAGGACACCGCAAGCCTCAAGGAGGACAATGTGCACCTCCCCGAGCTGAGGTTGAGCCTTCCACCTCAGCATCCCCCTACCACTGCAGCTGCCCAACCCCTCACCCCAGGGCTGCATGCTGGGGAATAGCATGGTCCTCTCCCTCCTGGATGCAGAAGGTATGTAGTGTCTCCATCATCTCCCATGTCCCTGGGTGATGCTCCCAGGGTGGCACTGGCTGCAGGTACCCACCCCTGGGGTGATGCTGAGCACAGGGATGGAGCCCCCCCTCTCTGTGCCACTTGCATGCCCTGATCCCTGCCCTGACCCACTGGGGAGCAGAGCCTGAACACTGGTGAGTGATTGCAGAGCTCAGGCCTTTATTTCTGGCAGTGGTATCATGCAAGGACAGCAGGATCCGGCCTGCCACAAGGCAGAGTGTGGAGGTCTCCTGGGGTGCTGCAGGGGCTGGGCACAAGGATGCAGGCAGAGAGATGGGCTTTGCTCCCGATCTTCGCGTGGCGTCTGGGGAGATGACCAAGGGCTGGACAGCAGCAGCAGAGAATGGAGAAGAGCAGTGCCAGGGCGGTGCTGCCCAACATGGAGGAAAAGAGGCTGGTCTTGTACTCTAGTCCTGTCTTGAATGCTGGCAAAAAAGCTG